TCAGGGCAACAAGATGTGGATCACGGGCGGCGACCAGGGCCTGTCGGAGAACATCGTGCACTTCGTCCTCGCGAAGCTCCCCGGCGCGCCGCCGGGCGTCAAGGGCATCTCGCTCTTCCTCGTGCCGAAAGTGCTGGAAAACGGCGAGCGCAACGACGTCTACCTCGGCGGCATGAACCACAAGATGGGCCAGATCGCGTCGGTGAACGCCGGCGAGCTCCTCTTCGGCGACCGCACGGGCGCGGCGACGGGGTATCTCGTCGGCGAGCCCCACGAGGGCTTGAAGTGCATGTTCGTCATGATCAGGGCAGCAAAAGAGAGCGAAATTCCCAACTTCAAAGGCTCATATTTCGGCCGTTTTCCACTCGTTTCGGCTGATTTTTGGACGGTCGATCATCTCTCGGAACGATCTCGAAGCGTGGATTTTTTTCCCGGAACGCGCGCGCGCGGAACGCTCACGTTGAAGCGACGTTGAATCACCCTTTTGCTGCCCAGGTCATGATGAACGAACTTCGCGTCGGCGTCGGCATGGGCGCGGCCGCGTCCGGCGTCGCCGGCTACACCGCGGCGCTGCGGTACGCCCGCGACCGCGCCCAGGGCCGGCCCTTGACGTCCAAGGACCCGGCGGCGCCCATGGTGCCCATCGTGCAGCACGCGGACGTGAAGCGCATGCTGCTGGCCGCGCGCGCGTACTCCGAGGGCGGCGTCGCGCTGAGCCTCTACGGCGCCGAGCTCATCGACAAGATGGCCGTCTGCGAAGACGCCGCGGCGAAGCAGGAGCTCCACCTCGTCCTCGAGCTGCTCATCCCCATGATCAAGTCGTGGCCGTCGGAGTGGGGGCTCGAGGCGAACCGTTTGGCGATCCAGGTCCACGGCGGCGCGGGCTACACGACGGACTTCATCGTCGAGCAGCTCTACCGCGACGCGCGCGTCAACTCCATCTACGAGGGCACGACGGGCATCCAGAGCCTGGACCTGCTGGGCCGCAAGGTGCCCATGGCCGGCGGCGCGGCGCTCGCGGCGCTCGCGGCGCGCGTCGCCGCGGACGCCGAGGCCGCGGCGGCCCACGCGGAGCTCCGCCCGGCCGCGGCGGCCCT